CCGACCTGAAGTCTTCGTTTCATAGTGAGCTAGATGCACCGATATGGCATGAAAAAGGGAAGAAAGGGGAGAGGGAGAAGGAGGAGAAAGAAAGCTATAATTATGTAGATAGGACACGGATGAATGAATGGCGAAAAACAATGGCTTTTCACAGACGTTCAATCCCTCCCATAATTCTTCATTTGAAGCATTCTCTGAAAGGGTATACACGGGGAGGTGGGGGGGGGGGGACTACTTGGACTCTTGGAGGCGTGGAGAGAAGTGAAGACGTCCGTTTACTTCAACGCGGGAATGCCAGGCAACATCGACACCTAGCAATGCCAATGTACTGTACTATGTATTGTGCAGACCTACTACATGTAGTACTTTCGCTCAGGTCGATAGAGACTGCACTGCATCGCAGCCGAGATTTGCTCCAGGTTGATCAAAATGCCATTGTGGATTGATGAATGCCGGGCATAGCTGGCCTGTCTACAGTCGATGACACGACCCACCACGACCTGCATGCACAAGCTACTGTGTAGCTGTCATTCCAGCAGAGACCGTATTTTCTTACATGACACGTGATCGTTGCCCATGCCGCGGCCAATAGGCGGTCTTTCCGCCCTGGGCATATTCAGGCAATCAGGACCGATTGACGTCATTTCGTGAATAATTCGACCTTTCGACCTTTGACCTTCCCTAATATGTTGCTTCGTGCTGTAAGAAATCAAGTCAAGCACGCTCTGTTGGTCATGATGGCTAAATCTTGCCCTTGGCTGCTTGGATGCATGCAGCCCTCGGGCTTATAATTAGATTCAGCCATCGTGACCTCCTGAGCGTGCTTGATTACACACATCCTCCTCCAGGAAAGCTACCTCCGACTCAGTACCTGCATGTCATGTAGTTGCCTCCCTCTCCCCTGAGGCTGCGGACTATGTCTTGGACTTGGAAATTGGTTTGGTCCATATGGTTGTGATTTCAGTGGACATTCATTTGCCGGGGAGGCAAAAAGGGGGAAATGCAGACAAATTGTCTGCACAAAGACTCGGAAATCAGGGACTCTTCAGGCCTAAACAAGGCTACCGGGCCAGGAATCCGCGAGTTCGACAGAAGCCTTTTTCATAGCTCTCTCGGCCTGGAGCCCTCCTGGACGTGGTAATACCATCAGAACTACAATCACGCTATCCCTAGAGAGGCTAGGTACAAGCCAGTACAACTATGTCGTAATGAGGTTGTCCCTCGTCTGCACAAGTCGTGTAGTGCTTGTTTCTTTCACCAGAGTTTTAGTGATGCCGGATGGGGACGGCAAGGATCCCCAAACTGGGTTGTAGATCTACTGCAACAGCTAGTACAAGCAAACGACGTGCCATTCTTTGCCAGTTTACTCTACATACAGATTTCTCTAGCCTAGGAGGGTTGACGGCTGCGCCGTGGAGACAGGGATGTGTCAAAAACAGGGCCCCGAGGCGGATGATGGGAGCAAAACGAAGGAAAGCCGATCCAAAATTGACAGCAAAGACGTTGTTGCTTCTAGCCGGGGAGCCCATATACGACTCTGAATCTCCGAATGCGGCTCCGAGTCCGAGCAAAAGTGAAGCCGAGTTCCATTCACGAGAATAATCCTTCGGATCGGCAAAGCCGGAGTCTACGTCATGTGTTCCTTGCCTTGGCCCTGTCCAACTTTGAATCATAGTCCCCAGCTCTTGTCTATTCAAATGATGCCGGGTTTCCCCACACCTGAATCATGCCATTGCTTTTCCTACTGGTGTTCAAGCCGACATAGTGGGAAGGCTGCCGGCGCGAGCACGAGAGAGTGTGCCTGCGGGCAGGGAAATGTTTCTCAGAAAGGCCGAACATCGCCCTGTCCAATCAATGAGTGCTGTTCGTGCTGGAAGTCATCTGAGGTCTTAGAATTCTCGTCCGAACGACAAAGTGGATTTGCAGCAGCGCTGTAAACTAACAGTGGACTTGTAAGTAAGTCGTAGTTGTCAGCTAGCTGTCTTTGTTTTGTGCTTCATTCAAGGATGAGTTGCTACCGGTGAAATCTGATCGCCTGTCGAAAAGGAGCGTGGCGAAATGCCGACGATCCGACCCTATTGCTATCCCCGTGCTGTTCGTCTTCTCGCTGACTGAGTGAACCAACTCGAGACTAGAAAGGAATGCATCGTTTGTTCATTTGGAGGCGCATACGACGAGGCTGAGGGGTTGTGAGAGTACGGAGTGACACGAAGACAAACCCGTTAATTTCGTTATTTGAGGAGTTGTAAATCCACCACGCAAACAAGTATTAGTTTGAGCGTACTGGGCCAGCAAAATCCACGAGACAATGCACAGCACAACGTGTTTTTGCATGTAAAGGCTACAAGCTTGTCTCACAAAAGGCAAAAACCCAGTCGCTAATGGAGCTGAGATGAACTACACACGTGCATTATAAGTTCAGAGTTCTGGGGTCAAATGACGAAGATTTTGTTTTGAATGAACTAGGACAAATTCGACTCTTCCATCTGTGCGCCTGCCCATCTTTTGTAGCACCGCCCACCCACACATCCTTGTAATGGTTTTGGGACATTCTTTTTGGATTCCACAGTAAGAGGGGGTTTGACTCACTGGGACTCATTTTACCTTGATGTGGCATACTTTGTGGCAATACGATGGAGAATATGCATTCTGGTTTCGTCTGTAAGTTCCTAATTTGGCAGGAGACCTTTTTTTGAAATCCGCCCGATATAGAATGTTAGATCCGCCACATACGCGCGCACGCAATCCGCCGAATTTCGCCATGTGCAGGTAGAGAGCACCGGATTCTGAATTCCCACAACCTGTGATGTCGCTGCAAGGCCGCAAGTCTCCAGCTTTTGCTCTGAGTGCATCTCCCGTCGCATGGGGCAACGTCATATGTGTGTGTTAGGAGCAGAGGCTCTCCGTACCTCTGTCTGCACGTACATCTCTCCATCCCCATGACCATGCTACCATCTGTCTGTTCCCCTAATCTGTTTCTGCTTATACCAGTACTCTTTGCCCACATGGACTGTCCGTGTGTATGTCTGTGTGTGTGTGTGTGTGTGTGTCTGTCTGTGTGTGTGTGTGTGTGTGTGTGTGTGTGTGTGTGTGTGTCCGCCAACTGGTAGAGAAATCATATGAGCATAGATCGAAGCTGTTTTGCGTCTTTGTGGACCTCCGCAAAGCATACGACTCTGTGCCTCGTGAGGCTCTGTGGCAGGCATTTCTTCGGCTCGGTGTCCCCCCTCAGGCTGTGGCTCTCGTGAAGTCGTTCCATACGGACATGTTGGCGTCTGTTCGTGTTGCTGGTGGTTGTACCGATCCGATCTCTGTACAAAATGGTTTACGGCAGGGGTGTGTCATGGCTCCTGTGCTGTTCAACCTGTATTTCGGATTGGTGATGGAGCGGTGGAGGTCTGTTCTCAGGGAGCGCGGCATCGAGTCTGGTGTGGATTTCAGCTTCTTGATTAATGGACAGTTGTTTCCCCGTGCAGCTGGGCGACGTCAACAGTCTCAGACTGGTCATGCTGATGATTTTGAGTTTGCCGATGACGCCGTCCTACTCGCAACAACTCGTGCTGCAGCCGACCTGTCCCTGTCCGCCTTCTGCGATGTGGCATCCAGCTTTGGCCTCACGGTCAGCATGACGAAGACTAAGCTACTGGTCGCGGGCTATGGAGTCGCTGCCGCTGATTGTTCCGATCTGGCAGTTGGCAATGAAAGGGTTGAAGCTGTTACCTCCTTCCCCTATCTTGGATCTGTTATAACTCCGGATTCGCGAGCTCATGCCGATGTCCAGAGCCGCCTTGCGAAGGGTGCCAGGGCCTTTGGCTGTCTTCGGCGGATTTTACATGATCAGAGCCTGAACCTGCCTACTCGACGGCATTTGTATGTGGTATGTGTTCTCACCACGGTTTTGTATGGCTCGGAGTGTTGGACCCCATTGAAGTCGGACTTGGACAAGCTGGACAGGTTCCATCACGCCAACCTACGGTCAATCCTTGGCATTTCGCGCGGCCGCCAGTGGGAGCAGCACATTACATCGGAGCAACTACGCACACAGTGGGGTGACCCTACTCCACTGTCGTGCATGGTACAGCGAAGACGCTTGGAGTGGCTTGGGCACCTAGCTCGGCTTGATAACAATCGGTTACCCAAGCAGTTGCTCTTCGCTCATCTTCCACGAACCCGCCCGTTTTGCGGCCCCCGACATCGCTGGAAGGACGTTGTCCAGGCTGATCTGACTGTGGCCGGTGTGCACAATTGGTTCCAATCAGCCAACGATCGCGGAGAGTGGCGTGACATAGTGTCGGCAGCAGCGGGGGTGAAGGAGCCTGCCCCGAAGACGATTGTGTGCCACGTTTGCGGCCGCCTGTTTCGTCGGCGCGCCGACATGGCCCGGCACAAGTGCACAGCAGTCCGACAGCTCCCCGTATCACAGCAGCCTGGGTCGGTGCAGTGTCCTGCCTGCAGTAGATGGCTCCGGAGCAGGGGTGGGCTTGCAGTGCATAAGTGCCTAGGGAGTGGCAACTGTGACGACCGACCGCCTTTTGATGCTCCTCCTGTTGCCGAGGTCCCGGTGTGTACTGCCTGCCAGCGTACTTTCAAGTCTACCGCTGGCCTCAAGCGCCATCGCTGTGGACCCCGCCCGAAGCGCCCTACAGTGACTGATCGCCAGCACTTTGAACATCATTGCCGAGTCTGTAGTCAACGCCAGTTTCGGAGGCGACAGGACCTGGAGCGCCATTTGAAGCACTGCCTACCTCTCCCCTAACCTCTCTGACAGTACCTCCCTTTGGGGAGCGGCGTGGCCATTTCTGGCAGCTGTCAATAGTAGTAGTAGTAGTGTGTGTGTCTGTGTGTGTGTGTGTCTGTGTGTGTCTGTCTGTATGTCTGTGTGTATGATGGTCTGTCTGTACCAGATGTGCACTCGTATTACATGTGTATCGGACCTGCATGTCCATCTGTCAACCCTTTCCTTTGTGATTGATTTGTTGCTGTTGCTGTTGCTGCTGCAGAGCAAGAGGCAGTCGCTCAACGACCTGTTCACTGCACTACATGACAGAACAGCCAGCAGTCCAGAAGCAAAACCTCAGCCGCCGTCCGTGGTCGTCACTCGACCTCGCAAACCGCACGAGCAACGTCGGCACCAGGAGGACAGGGATTTGTCAGTGCCCTCGCACGGCCACACGAACGGCAGTCTTGAGGCGGCCGCGAGAGCATCGCCTGAAAAGCGGCGTCCACAGCAGCAGCAGCCGGCGGCGGCCAAGCGCCAGACCCTGTGCGTGGACTCGCTGTGCGTCGTTCCCATGGTGTCGCCAATGCCGTCGCCGCGTCTCTCGCGTCGCCATAGCAACGGTGACCCGATGACGTCGTCCCTGGCGGAGCGGATATCGCCGGAGGAGCTCGACTCTAGCTTGGCCGTTGTGAGTCTTCATCCTCGGACGGCGCCGTTGTCGGGTATTTCCACGCCCACTACCAGCATCGGCTCAGGCGGTGTTTCTACGGCCGAACTCGATGCGGCACTGCATCACACGGTGGCCGAAGAGCGGAACTCCAGTCGTGACCCATACCCGAAGGGTGGTAGTGGTGGTGGTGGAGTAGATGGTAGTGTGATGCCGAGCGCATCCGGGCATGAGCTGCGACGCCGAGAGAGGCCACCGCAGGTACGGCGCACTCATAGCGATCACGCACTGCTCGGTGCTCCCGGCAGCACCGGCAGGGATGGCACGGCGGCCCTCGGTCCCGGACAGCGAGCGTCCGCAGCCGCAGGCGCCGGTTCCGGCACGCACCTGAGCGCGTTTGGCCAGCGCGCCCGCCGGTTTGCTCGCTCGCCTTCTCCAATGCGTCGTCGTGTTCCCGAGACGTCGCCCAGTGAGGATGGTGTACGTCCGCAGGCTGCCTTGCTGCTCGGCTCAAGCGAAGCAAGGAGACAGTCAGGCACGGGCCCTTGGTCACCGCCACTACGGAGATTCTCGCACGGTCAGGACACGCGGGAGAAGGCCAATGTGCCTGGAAGCAACGGTGTGCAACGCGACCTGTATTCCAACACCACCACTACTAATCATGTAGCGGTATCGTGCGTTGCTGGGTCCGGGAATGAGAGCAGCGGAAGCAGCGGACACGCACGTCGCCCTCGGTCTCCGTTGCCACGGAGACGACTCGCCCAATCGGACCCAATCCCCCACGCGCCGACGAGCTCTTACGAGGATGTCGCGCATCCCGATCGCGCATACGGTGGTGACGCCGCGACAATGTCTGATACGGGCGATGGAGCTGCTGTCAGAGGCTGGGCATCTCCCACTGCTCATCAGATGTATCGCACACGCAAGTCCATGCCGAGCAGTCCTGTTGGCTCCCAGGTGATGATCGACCGAGAGTCCCAGGGGGAAATCCCCGTTATGACGTCATCGTCGTCACTGTCGTCGTCATCGTCGTCGGCGCAAACCGACCCGGGGTCCGACGACCGCGGCGAGGCACAAGTTGCCGACAGCGGCGAGCAAATGCAGACGTCGGAGCGGCACAGTATACACCCGGACGTGGTGCACATGGCGATGGGCGTGCGCGCCCGCACCACCCGCAGCACACCCACTCCGCCGCTCGTCTCCTCCAGGCAGTCACAGCCGCTGACGGGGAGCTTTCGGCACGGCGACAGGAGCGTAACGCCGGGCGACGCGACCCGAATGGCGGTGCCGGTGATCGTGCTTCGCCATGACGACGAGGACGACGTGGAAATCCACCGCGCTGCCGACACCCACGCTACTGCTACTGACTATGGAGTTGTGGGTGACGAGCCAAGTCGTGACAACGCCGGCGAAGACGATGTGGTCACAGAGGACAACGAGAGCACGTTAGCAAGCGCAGGCAGGGCATTTCAGACTGTGAACTATCTGGATGCGGAGGGTAAGTGGAGTCCCGATATCTAAGTCTGTCCAATATGCTGATGGTTCTGCATGGCCCTTTGTTGAACACCAGAATTGTAACAAGATTTGATCGGTACATTTCTTCACTGTACACAACTGGATACACAACTTTGTTTTCAGCGACACTGATGACAACAAGTACTTTCAGGTTCGGTCAGGTTTTCAACTTCCACTCTAAAAAAAGGAATGCCACACAAAGCCAGTGAGAAAACGCACATTGTTTTCAATATTTCAAGTACAAGGGATCAGTCATTCTGTTCATGTAGTGGGATGGGGGGGGGGGGCACTTCCTGGACCTGGGGGGGGGGGGGGGGGGGGCACTTCCTGGACCAGGGGTGGGGGGGGGGGGAGCATTTCCTGGACCAGGGGGTGGGATGCTGTTTTCCATTGATCTGGTAATCAGGTAAACCTCTCAGAGAATTGTGCTGCACTGTGGCCACAACTATCCCAGTTTGGTCGTGAAATACAACGGCGTCTGAAAAGATTGGTCGGTCCGTAACCCGACTAGTTCTACCGCGCGTGCATTGGTTTACTCGCCGGGTGTCAACGGCCAATGATGGGCTGGCACGGTGCAGTTTCGTTGCTCTGCAGAATGCAGGCCGAAAACGAAGCTTCCGGGTTGGCTGGCACCGTCGAAGGGGTCCAACGGCACGCTGTCCATGATGGACCTCTTCTGCTGTGCTACTCTCATACTCCGTTTTTCCGGGTGATCCGGGACTGGGCACTGCCCGTTATTTTGAAATGTCCATACCTCGGAATCACATACATATCGAAGGGGGAAAGGCCATACATATGGCATACGACGTTACTATTTGAGTATTTCCACAAAAGTTTATCAAAGAGTAGTAATATTTCCACTGACACTCGCCCGAAGGGTGCCCAGTAGACCGAAGTGCCCGTAACTTCGGTGTCCGAATAGCCGCGGTATTTGTGTACTTTGTCTGTCTTTCCTATTCTTGGTACAGCTGGAGAGCTATCAATGTTAGGTGACAACGACGATGATCGGCTTACGCAGCTGAAAACGGTAACATCAGCGGTTGGAGGTTCATCACGGCCTTTCTCCAGGCCCTCATCCCGACCCTCATCCCGTCCGACGTCCCGGCCATCATCCCGACCTTCATCTCGCCCTTCTTCTCGCCCTTCTTCTCGACCTGTGTCAAGATCTGCGTCGCCCGTAGCTCTCGATGCGCCAGCATCAGCCACGCCTGCGTCATTCAGCCAAGCTGCATCAGATAATCCGCCTATCGAAGCCGACTCCTCCGACGATGAGGTATGTCCCAGCTGCACAGCATGGTCAGACTTGGTGTGTGTGTGTGTGTTTGCCTGTGTGTGTGTGTGTTTGTGTGTGTGTATGTGTGTGTGTGTGCACGCATGTGTGTGTGTGTGTGTGTGTGTGTGTGTGTGGGTGTCCGTCTATTTATGTCTGTATGTATGTGGCTGGGTTGCGAGCGTTCGTATAATGCTTGCGTGAGCTCACACCTGTGTGCGTGTTTGTGAAATCCAGCCGGCAAGACGTGTCTCAGTCTCCCAGTTGCATCGAGCAATGCTATTTTTCATCCGATACCGATTCTGTGTTTAAAAAAGTACTTTCAGCATAGATATCCACTGTAGTCAGTAGAACTAGTTGCTTGTGTCTATGCCTTTTTGTAAACGCGTATTTGGTGTGTGTGTGTGTGTGTGTGTGTTATCTGTTGCATCTAACTATTAGATGGTGGCGTCTGCGGAGCGTAAGGCATCGCTAGGGGAGATGGCAGAGGCGCTGGTGTCGGGCGCGGCGCAAAGAGCGGGCGAAGTTGACGTCATCGACCCGGACGACAGCTTCTACTGCACGTGGCTGGTGAGTTCAATGTTTGTGCTCGTGCGTGTGCGCGCATGTGTGTGTGCATTTTTTTTAATTTTTTTACTGAATACCACAGAACCATCAGATGCTGCACAGCGGGGCGGTGGCATATTGGATGGAAGTGGGGGCGGGGCAGAACGTGTGCTTGTGCGTGTGTTTGTGTGTGTGTGTGTGTGTGTGTGTGTGTGTGTGTTCCATTTCTCGCTGTGGAGCCATAACAGGGCCGGAGGCAGCTTCCGTGGAGCGGTGCGACCGAAGGGCCATCTTAAAGGGGGGTCTGGGGGTCCTCCCCCCGAAAATTGTTGGAATTTAGATGGCAAATGCTGCACTCTGGGCGACTCCCTGTACAAAATCATACATGGAAACTTTTTCTCCCCGGTTTTGGACGTTCCGCGTGGACCGACTTTTTGGGAAGTTGGTACGGCCATGGCCGTACCGGCCGTACCAGTGGCGCCGTCCCTTCATAATGACAATACATTTTGTCTGTGTCCTCTCATACAGGGAGTCGTGACTGTCGCTGTCTTCTACAACATCTGGATGGTGCTGATGCGCATAACCTTCTCGGAGCTCAGAGACGATGTAAGTTTCAGTATATTGTGTTCATGTACTTGATCAATGTCTGCTCAGATTCTGCTGAGTCTGACTTAAAGCACATGCTCAGTGTCTGCTCAGTATTTGTTCAGTATTTGCTCAGTATTTGGCTATTTGCTCAGTATTTGTACAGTAACTGCTCAGTGTCTGCTCAGAATGTGTCTGAGTAGGGTTGGCCGGACCAACCATACTGGTCCCACCGACCCAGAATCAACCTTGTTGTAAAGTTTGCCACAACCCACCATTCCTGACTGACCCTGCTTCCTTAATTAATAGGGAAGCATGCAGCCCCGGCGCACTGTACTCACGGCATTTGTCGTGTTTTCGTCTTTCTCCCGGCTCTGTTCACCTCAGGCGTTCATCGATGGCCTCTTCTTCGCACTGGACATGCTGACGGACGTGATCTTCTTTGCGGACATACTCGTTCACTTCCACATCACCTACTTGGAAGACGGCATAAAGGTAAGCAGCCGGTCTTCCCCGTTTTCATTTATTTCCTCCGTGCTCAGGGGGCATAGCTGGTCCCCCTTTTAGAGTGGTGGGGGGGGGGGGGGGTGCACGGCCGTAGTTCCCTTGCTAGCTGTACTAGCATACAAACAATAATAAGAGGACGAAAAAGTGTTTTACTCCGAGTTTCACGCACCAAGCGGTCATCAGAAAACAGTAACAAGTAAGTCTGGATCAGTACTGGCTCATATACTGTATAGCAGGAAATTTTCGGACCGAATTTATTTTCGTACAATTTCGTACGCAGCCTCTTTTGTGCTAAAATATGTTCTCCGTGTTCAGGGGGCATAGCTGGTCCCCCTTTTAGAGGGGTGGTGGTGGTGGTGGGGGGGGGGGGGGGGCACGGCCGTAGTTCCCTAGCTAGCTGTACTATCATACAAACAATAATAAGAGGATGAAAAAAGTGTTTTTACTCCGAGTTTCACGCACCAAGCGGCCATCAGAAAACAGCAACAAGTAGGTCTGGATCAGTACTGGTTCATATACTGTGTACAGTCTACTCGCGATAAGTCACGCACAGTGTCCTGGAATAGAAAATGCGCGACTTACCGCGAGTGCGCGCCTTACATTATGCACCACGTCATGCATATGTACAGCCATCATGTTTTCTTCTGCATATAATTATGTGTGCTGAACACGCGTACAAGCACTGAGCTGCATGCGCGCGGTACACTGTCTGTAGTCTACACTGACTGTACACTGCTGTACACGAGACGTAGATCTACCACAGCGTGAAGCCATGATCGATATGAAGGCATGATCGAGAAAGACAAGTAACGACGTTCCGTTACTTTTGCAATGGTGGTAGGGATTTGACAAGACGCACTTCTGTTTCCGTCGTGTAAACACTTCGCTTCCCTTTGCTTGACGATGCATTCTCATAAGAAAACGAAAGAACAGCGAACAGTGGCTGATCGACTGCGTTTGGTTCGTCTCTATCGTGAGAGTGGAAAACCTCCGCTCGAAAATTTGCGAAGTTGAACAATGTTCCGGAGGCGATGTTCCGCGGCTGGCTGAGGCAGTGGGGGGTGCTGAAGCTGGCAAGCTCGCCGATGCTAATCCGTCTGGTCCACAGGGAGTCCGCAACAGAAGTTTCCAGTTCGGGAAAATTGAGGAGCGGCTAGTTAAGTATATTTTGCTTCGAAGGGAGAAGTTTGTGACTGGCAAACTTGGATTGTCGTGGGTGATCCTGAGGGAGAAGGCTCTCATACAATATGCACATAATAATTATATTCTTACCTTTACAGTATTCAAGCTCCATCATTGAAAACCACATCATTCGCAAATATTCACGAAATCCACAAAATCCCGAAAAATAAAAAAATTCTTGAGATGGGTGTCCCGGATGAAAAAGTGCGTGACTTATCGCGAGTGCGTGACTTAAAAGTGCGTGACTTATCGCGAGTAGACTGTAGCAGGAAATTTTCTGACGGAATTTATTTTCGTACAATTTCGTACGCAGCCTCTTTTGTACTAAAATATGTTCCGTACTAAAATTTGTTCATGTGACGTTATGTACACTATACATGCGTACTGCATGCAACCATGTGCATTTAGCGTGCAGCACAGTACGAAAATTAAATCCGCGCGAAAGGTCGAAATTTGGCTTTGTCCGAAAATATTGCCGTCCGAAAATTTCCTGCTATACGGTATCCCCAGAACGCAAAGTGTAAATGACTCTCTGTTGTGCTACCATGCATGCACTTAAAGTATGTGTAGGATGCCTGGTGCATGTCATCATGGTCATTACCGCTATGTGCTGAGCCTGGGGCGAAATGTTTAGGAGGGGGTGCACGTGCGTGCCCCCTGTGCCGCATGCGGGCTACACGCCTGGTGTTGTATCATTCCGTGCGGCAAACGTATCATCGGCTTACATCAAGGTCTTCTCTCCATCTCCCCCCACAGGTCACTGATCGCAAGAAGCTACGAGAGAACTACATGTCGAACGGCGCCTTCATGTATGACATCATTGCGGTGCTCCCCATCCACTGCCTGATGTATCTCAGTACCGGTGAGCGCGATGTGATCGCTTGCATCCATGACTCGTGCATGATGTCATCATTTACATACATGGCTCATGCATGATGTCATCATTTACATTCATGATTCATGCATTATGTCGTAATCTACATCCATGACTCAGGCTTGATATAGTGTGATCCTGGTGAATTCCTGGACACAATAATCACTGATCCTCACGACCTAGATGTCAACTATTTCCCATCCATTCCAGAAGTTGATGAAGTAATTGCGTCTGCAATGACGTCATTATTATGCACTGCCTGCTCTCTCACTTCTACTGCAGACCGTGTCACATATCTGTATTCACGGATGATTAATCATGTCAAGCTGCACGTCGCCTTCAAGTTCTTTGACATGGTTGATGGGTGAGTTGTGGTCCAACTACCGTTAGACCTTGGTGTTGCCATGGTGTTGCCATCGTGTGAGGGATAGGGCTAGATTGGCGTTGTTTGAATTCTTTATTATCACGATGGCATCATTGCCAATAAGGGGTCGTCCTCAAATATCGATGTTTTTTTAGAGAAGATATTCGTTCGTTTGGGGGGGGGGGGGGGGAGGGGGTTTGGGCCCTGTTCGTCTCGTCTTTGCAGAAAAAAATATCGAACTCTATCTATGGACGGGTGCTGTTCGAACATGTAGTCTATGACCTACACAAAGTGAAAGTCAACCTCGTGAGCATAGCCATGGCAAGGTTGTGCGACCGTGGCAACATAAACCTAGGTGTATGGTGAAATTAGAGTGGCAGCTGGTCACGTTTCATGAGGAAATTGAACTTCATTAAAAAATATCGATCCCTTGCTTAAACATGTCACATTGTGTATGTTCGTTTTGAGGGGGGAGGGAGGGGTCTGGGAAGAAATGAACAAATATCGTCTTGAAAAAACATCGATATTTACGGACGGCCCCTAAACAGATAAATTTATGAGAAGGTAAGATGCTGTGGGTGGGGCTGTGGGTTATGCAGTTGGAAAGTGATTTACATCACTTTGAATTTTACAAGTAAGGGAGAGGGTGAGCGCTGCAGGAGCAGATTGAGTTAATCAGCAGTGAGCAGATTTCTTGTTTGAAAGCAGGTCGGGAGGAGACGTCACGAATGCTAGCAGGGAGGGCATTGTAGTATTCTAGGGACTTGTACAGTGGGGAGTCTTTACAGCGAGCGTTGTTTGCTATGCTGCTTGACTTCACGTAGCCCTCGGCTGCCCACACTCGTCACGTACCTCTGCTTTCTGTTCGAAATCCCCTTCGTGAAACCCGCCATCGGAACCACTCAATGTTATCATTGTTCTGTATGTTAGCTTATGGTCACACTTTGCAATACTTTCTGTTACTGCCCTAAACAAATACCGAATTTCCTTTTCACTTATAATGTGTTGCACCCCCCCCCCCCCTCTCTATCGTGTACATGTACGTTCCATTCCAATACCCGTAATGTCGGGTATTATTAAAGCCGGGCGTTTTCTTGTGGAAGCAAATGTCAGGGCTAGGCTTCTAGTCACAACCGTCTTGTATTCAAAGTCAAAGCAGGTATTTCTATGTGTGTCAACACTGCAAGCAGGTATTTCTATGTGTGTCAACACTGCAAGCAGGTATTTCTATGTATGTCAACACTGCAACCAGGCTTGTGTGCCGACAGTGTATCTTTGAAAATCAGGCTTGTATTCAAAAACGGACTTCTGTATCACGAGAGAGAGGCTTTAATACAAGACACAACACTATTCCAGAACGTGTTCCATGCTGACTGGAGAGAGCAATGGGAAGGTCCCGCTGCCTGGTCGCCTTCGCATGCCTTGGCCGTTCGAAACCTTTTGCACCGTGTCATCAACCTATTGACAAATGACATGTGCACAGAACGCTCCAGGGGAGGTGGCCTTTATCAATGCTGGTTTGGGAGCTTGCACATCATTGTGAACCTGATGAAGGCAATCTGCCGAAACGTTGGAATAATCATTGTGAAATGAGTTGAACTATTGCAGTGTTAATGGAAGAGAGCGTGTGGGCTCTACTCTTAACAGAACGCTTGTTTTCACAATGTTGATATTCTGCCTAACTGCGTACACTCGCTCACCTGTGTACATCTTCTCTCGTTTCTGTCGCCGTGGGTTCTCCCTCCCAGGCGCACCAGCTTCGTGAATGCGTTCCGTGCCGTCAAGATGTCCTCCATGATAGCCAGCGCCATACACAGCACGGCATGCCTCTACTACATGGTGTCCGAGGTACGCGGTTTACTCTCTTAAAACCTACTGAGCTTACTGCTCTAGTACGGTATTTTGTGTACGCCATGTGTAATTGTGTATACTAGATAATGGTGTTGATGCGTGTACGTGTTGCTGTTGCGTGAAAGCAGTCTTCGTATTGTGGTGTTTCTGTCGTCTACTCGTAATACATCGTCTTCCCAATGTAAAAATCTCGCGTGTGGTCCGAGTGTGGAGATGGCACGGAGCAGGGAGCAGGAATGAAGAAAAAAGTCCACTTGCAACGTTACAACGTTAGTTTACCACAGAAAATCTGCCCGGTTCTCTCAGCTGTAGATATCTGTGGTGGTTGGCTAACACCCACACTCTCCACATATACTCTTGCATATTATACCAGACCGAATCATGCACGTACCCTATGCCACTGTCTTTTCTCCATTCGCAGTTTGAAGGTTTCGGCAGCACTTCCTGGACATACCCAGAGCTCTCTGGAGAAGACAGCCTGCTTTCAAGGTAGGTCATCATAGTTATACCGACAGAATAGCCTGCTGATGGTTATTTCATGACCGAAACGTTGAAATAAAATATTTTTCTGGTGAAAAGCAGTGATTTGAGTGTGAGCCAGTGTTGCTCACAACCAATAGAATAGCCTGCGTTTGAGTCATGTGACTGGAAGGCATTTCCCTTCTGACTTATCGGGGAATCCCCTTCTGACTGATAAGAAAATTCCTTCTGACAGATGGGAAGTTTCCCTTCTGACTGATAAGAAAATTCCTTCCGACAGATGGGAAGTTTCCCTTCTGACTGATGGGGAATTTCCTTTTGACTGTTGGGGATATTCACTTCTGACTGATGGGAGATTCCCTTATGACTGATGGGGAATTCCCTTCTGACTGTTGGGGATATTCACTTCTGACTGACAAAGAATTTCATGGGTTAATATATGGCTCGTACTTCGGAAACACCATTTCTTTCTGATCTCCATAAATGTTTTGGCAAGGACATGTAGTTGCCTCTCCCTCCGTCCGTCTGTCCATCCATCTGTCTGTCTGTCTGTCTGTGTGTGCTGTGGTGGATTATGCTGCGGCTTCCGTGAGGATATGCTGGAAAAGAATAACAAGCTTTGTGCCTGAATCGGTTGGGTCTGTATGCCTTTATCACTTATGCCTCTGCCCGTGCCAAATTAGGAAGTACATCCGCTGTGTGTATTGGTCTATGATGACGCTGACGACGATTGGAGAGAACTCCGTTCCAGAGACCAACACTGTAAGCCATATACAACAGCTGCAGCTGGAGTACGGATGGAACTGGTTTGTTTCGTTTATTTGAATTTGTTTAGAGCACCGCCAAGTCTGCCTTCTCACCGGAGGAAAAACGTGTTTTTCTGGTTCCGGGGAAAAAAATATAAAAAATTTCACGGTTCGCTAAGGGCCTGGTCAGACTGCGGCAAAATCGAAATAATCCTAGGATTATAATCCGAATCTCCATAGTAACGCTCCAAAAAAAGCAAGAACGGACCACGCTTTTCCGCTCCAAACAGGATTTGACGCTGATAAGCCATTGACGCCGATAATCACTGATTTTTTCATCTCGATATCGAGGAGCTAATTGGCCACGGACAACAACAAAACTCATAAGGATGGTTGCAAGGATTGCACTGAAGGTGTTGGCGATCCCCAAGGTGAAGGAATTTGACGTCGTTCGTGGAGATTACCACTTGACGCTCGAAATGAAGTTTGAATGTTCACTCTCCCCACATGTGTAGTGTGATCGCGATTCAAATTCTGGACGCTGTTCTGTTTTTGTCAGGCAACCAAAATTTGCCGCAGTCTGACCAGGCCCTCAGACCGAATAAAAATTTACGAGAGAAATAAATAAAAAGGTACAACGTGACATAACAAATCCAGAGCGCCATTTTACTTTGAAGCGCCATTCTACAGATTGCCGAAACACACCCATCTGTGGTACCCCAGTGGTTCTACAGTGTGCAGTCCCCCGCCTGCTCTAAGATACCTCATTAATGACTGATACCACCGGTGTTCAAGTAGCATGATGTGTCTCGCCAAACGGGCCCGTTAGTTGTAGGGGATTTTGTTGCTGTTCGTACTCGTACTGGCACTCTGTTCTGTTTGATTTGCAAGTTAATTCTTAGCACATGCATTGGTGTTTGCTCCTACAATCTGTCTTTTATAAAAAATTTAAACTCGGATACTGAGGCTCGCTGAATGTCTAAGTAGCCTGTCAGTTTTGTGCCCTATTATCGCACTTTCTGACTGTTTATCATCTTGTTACAGTCGTGGACAGTTGCTGCATAACTCGTTCTCGTGTGTTTCTTCTCTTTTTCACTTTATAAAAAAACAAAAACATTCTCCCACTGCCGTGTAGGAATACATCTTCACTGGTTTTCTGTTCCTAGTCGGTGTCATGATCTTCGCCGCCGTCGTCGGTAACGTCAACGATGTCATCGCCAACACCAACGCGGCGCGTGCCGACTTCCAGTCTCGCATCGACAGCATAAAGCAGTACATGCATCATCGCAGCGTGCCGGAGCCTCTGCAGCACCGCGTCAAGCGCTGGTTCAACTACTCCTGGTCAAGGTGAGGTGTTTCAGGCGCGTAGCTCGCATGGGGCACGTGCACCCCCCCCCCCCCCCCCCCATTTCAACCTAGGCTCATCATGCCCGTTATGACCATGAATGACATGCACCAGCCATCCTATAAATACATTGTATGCAATCGTGCACCCCCTTAAAAACTGCTAACAGGGGACCAGTTAGTGATATCTATGTATGGAATTGTGTGGTGTACAGAACGCAAGCTCTCGATGAAGCCACGCTGCTGGGTATGTTACCGGACTCTCTGCGTGCCGAAATCGCCGTGCACATCCACATGGATACGCTGAGCAAGGTGAGGTGAATGATCTGTGCGTGTGTTAGGGGAAATCCCCCAACCCCCACCCGCTCCCAGTTCCGAAGTTTCCAGTGCTCATACCTCATGTATCTGGGCGGTCCGGGACTGTGCACTGCCCGTAACTTTGAAATGTCCGTAGCTATGCCGTGAATCACACACATTTTGATGGGGAAAGGGCCAGAGATATCGCATGGTTTGTCGCTGTTTCCACTGAAAGTAAGAAAAGAATTTAAAAGAGTAGTAATATTTCCACTGAAACTCGCGCAAAGACCGAAGTGCCCGTAACTTTCGGATCCGGATAGCCGTGGTATGAGTGTACATGTACTTATGCCAGGGCCGGCGGAGGCAGCTTCCGCGGAGCGGTATGGCCGAAGAGCCATCTTTTAAGGGGGTCTGGGGGTCCTCCCCCCCGAAAATATTTGGAATTTAGACGGCAAATCCTGCACTCTGGGCGACTCCCGGTACAAAATCATACATCGAAACTTTTTCTCCCCGGTTTTGGACGTTCCACGTGGACCGACTTTTTGGGAAGTTGGTACGGCCATGGCCGTACCGGCCGTACCAGTGGCACCGGCCCTGCATGTACACAATCCTGGCCACTGCTACTCCTTTGTCTGTAGTTCTTCTAATGGTCATCGCTCTGAAACGTTGAACCGTAAAATCAAAGGCGGATGGTTTGCTATTGTTCTTGTTGCCCTTTGTCATTATCTCTCTCATTATGGGGTATTCACACGACAGGCACATCCACGTGCACTGGAACGTTGCTATGGTATTTTTTCCCTAGAACGAGAAAAGTGACTGAAAGTGGCTGAAACGTGCAAGCGAGCTGGGGGCCCACTTTCACGATAATCGTGGCGTGCACGAGTACGTTTACACCAAAAAGCGCGAAACAAGACTTGAATTTTTTACGCGGCTCTTTAATAGAACATGATAATCATTGTATGCGTGTTTTGAAAATTTGAAATACCCATGGCAACTGGTCGGTGAAGCATTCAAAAATGCAAACGTGCCTGTCGTCGAGTGCAGCTGTGTGAATCCACACAGTCACTTTTCTCGTATGTCACTCCCTGTAAAACGTGCAAGTGCCTGTCGTGTGAATACCCCATTAAAATTGTTCAGTTCTCCCATTTTCATAATTTTTGTAATTCACAGATTTGAGTGTAAGTCCTTGTCTACTTCTTTTCGGTCCATTTCTCTTCCGCTATTCTCGACTCTTGCTGCAATTAACTCCCTAATCGGGTGCCCGGACTTGACAATAGAAGCAGCTTTCCATATGTGCAGTTACATTGAGCCACGGTGTTTTTATCTTATATTTGTGAATCCTTCCCGGAAGCAAATGCTGGTTTTTATACATTCGTGTAATTACTCAGCGTTATTTGCAATAATAATAATAACAATAATCGGGTGCCAATGCAAAGGCAACATCTCTTTTGTTTCTACGAGAGTAACACTTCTGCCCGCTCTCCTCTTTGTCCAGGTGAAAATCTTTCAGAATTTCGAGACGCACGTGCTGAAGGAACTGGTCCTGAAGCTGCGCTCGCAGATCTTTTCGCCCGGTGACTTCATCATTCGACAGGGAGATGTTGGTACGCAATAGCTAGTTTTCTCCTATTAGTGCAATTAATTTGAGACTCAGATTTTTTGGGATTGGATTTTATTAATAGTGGCGAATATAACAGACAATTGCCTAATAACAATAGACCCACTCGAGGGAAAGATTAAAATGAAAAAAGAAGGGACAGGCAGTTAATTTTTAGAACGCCAGTACCATCGGTCAGTGTCGTGCAATGTTATCGCATGAGCTGATTGGATAGTAACTGGTGGTGTTAGTGGACATTATCACGCAACTTGTAGTTTCTTGGTCCTTTTTTTGTCTTTACTATAAATTTAACCTTGGCTCTTCATCCGAGTCCATAGGTTTAAATTATCCGTTTTGTCCAACACTAATGGCCGTAGGCAGGATACTGTTGAGTGAGAACGTGACACTATTAGCACACCACTGACCGAGATACTGACCATTCAACGACCTGACGCTTAATAACTGCATCTGAATAATTAATTTTGCTCCTCCTTGGGTCTGATCTACTCACCTCCCACCGCTCAGGAGCTGCATCTGCGCCTTGATCCAAGAGGGTGGTGGCGTTCCTGCGGATGCGGAAAACTGGGCCTTTGGCCGAGTCTCACGCGAACCGTGAATTTTTTTTTTTGCCTCATGCTGTGTCGCTTTATTCTACTGCTGCTGCTGCTGCTGATATGTTCTAGTGCTGTTTCCATGGTGATGTTCCTACCAATCACTGGCCTTCGCTTGTCTGTTACTTGCTGATTTGTTTGTGATGCCTCTAGGTCGTGAAATGTTCATAATCAAGCACGGAAAAGTCAAGGTACGCAAACGGGAACACGGCACTGTACCGATTTTCCCCCTAAAGCGGGATTCACAGAAGCTTTTTTTGCGATGCGACACGCGATGCGACGCGATCTGCGATGGACGCGTGCGATGCGAACTCGCGAAATACCATTCACAGAAGAAGTCAGCGTTGCGACAAAGTCTTGCTGATTTGGGTACGTCACCATGGTATTCGTGCGGTTTGGTACAACTTGTACAAATTTATAGGCAACTCTTGAACCTTTGTACAACTTTGCTGTAGAAAAGGCCAACATCGTACGCCAAATCGCTTGTCGCATCGCAGAAGTTGAGCCAAGCTCAACTTCCGCGATGGCCCTGTTGCGGCAGTTGCGTGGGGTCTGCGATGGTTGCGATTTGGGGATTTCCCGGTTTCGCGGCTGTCGCATCGCGTGTCGCATCGCAAAAAAGCTTTTGTGAATCCCGCTTTATACCGTAAATTGCCGCCCCCTGTCGATTTTCTGTCTATGAAGCGACCTCGGCGTATTCAACGAAATACGATGTTGAACCGACACATGCACTGCTGTACACAATACGTGCCAGTGCAGGGTGAACATGTGCATAATTCAACACATCGAGTCTGATCCTCCACGTTGTTGTGCATCGTACTGCACTTGACAGCTTTGATCTAATTCCCGCCCCCTGCCGAAAGCCCAGCTGGGAAGCGACATGGCGTGGGGGGGGGGGGGGGATCAACTGTACTTTACGGTATATGTCGACCTTTTACGACCTAAAATGGCACTAAAAAAGGCTTTTGTTATTATTATTATTATTATTATTTATTCTTCTTTTACTAGGGAATTCCCAACAGGCGTCAGCGCCTTTTTACAGGGAACCCTAGGTATAATTTGATGGATGAGCGAAATTCAGCTGGTGAACTAGACATGCGGCAAGCCGGTGGAAGTGTATTCCACCTGGCAGCGCCCAAATAAGAAATTGCACTAAAGCCATATCGGGTTTTAGCGGGGGGCAGAACAAGAGCAGCAGAGACTTGGCCACGGGTGGTGGCTGCAGTGCGAGCACCATGGGCGCGCAAGGTAAAGCGGTCTCGCAGAAGAGGACTAGCAAGTCCATTCAGGCAGCGGTAAACAAATACATAGGTTTTGAAGTTGAGGCGTTTCTCAAGGGCGTACAAGTTAGTATGACTGTATAGAAGAGTGGTGGGAGTCATTCTATCCAACGAAAATATTCTCTTTAATGCTACGCGGCTGGCAGTAAGAAGCTTGTCATATAGGGTTTGTGATAAGCAATGAATATATGCAGTGCTGCCAAACTCAAATGTGGACTGAATGATCGATAAATAGAAAAGTCGTTTGCCAAAAATGCTGATATTCTGCTTTGCATGGACAAATGCTCCGACCTTCCTATTGACAGTTGCACATACTGCATCCACTTGGGTTGAGAAAGACAGATGTTCGTCAACCAGTATTCCTAAGTACCGAGCGTAAGCAGATGGGGCTATGGAAGTGCCCCGGCAGTTGACTGCGGTGCCAGGTGGCAGCTCTTTGCCCGGTCGCCTGAGCAGGACAAACTGAGTCTTGGACGGGTTTAACACCAGTCCCTTCTGATCTAGGTAGCGATCCAGAGCGGCAAGGTCAGCACTCAGCTGGGTTGTGATGATCTGGATGGACTTGTGCCTGATATAGAGTGTGATATCATCGGCATAAAGTTGATTCAATGCATGTTGGAAGCACTGTGGTGCATCACGGGTGTAAATGCAAAATAGCAGTGGGCCGAGCACGGAGCCTTGTGGGACGCCTCTTGTGCAAGGGCGGGCCCCACCTAGCTCTTGTCCTACTCTTACTCGCTGGACGCGTCTGGTCAGGTAGCTTGCAAACCAAGCAAGTGCAGTGTCAGCAATGCCAAGCATCTTCAACTCGTCAATGAGCTCTTGATGCTTAACTCGGTCAAAAGCTTTGCTCATATCCGCAAACACTATGCCGCAGTACTCGTTGTTATCAAGGGCTTGGAGCCATTCGTCGACCACTAGCGCTAGGCAGTCCTCACACGAGCTGTTGGTACGGTAGGCAAATTGATTGTCAGGCACGTACATGATGTTGTGTAACTTAAAGAATGCAATCAGCTGCTCCAAGACAACTCGTTCTAATATCTTGCTGCATATGGGCAATAATGAGACTGGTCTGTAATTAGTAGAGCTTTCTGCATCGCCTGATTTGAAAACTGGGCTGACTGTGGCATTCTTGAAAATATCTGGTACGCACCCTGTGCTCAGAGATTTATTGATAATATCAGTGAGAGAAACTGCTATGGAATCACGACCATGCTTCAGTACGGCTGGTAAGATGTTGTCAGAGCCAGGTGACTTACTTGTGTTTGTTGCTTTGAGCAGTGTGGTGATGTGCGCCACAGTTACGGGTCGAAAATGGGACAGTCGAGCAGCAGTAGTTGGCTGTTGGGTGGCTGGGCGTAAACATATGTCAGCAGGCCGGCTTGGATCGTGCACTATGTTAGCAAATGTCTCTGTCAGACTACTGAGAGATGCAATTGGCTGATTTCTTACTTTCCGCCTGCCAGACAGACTGTTAAGAAGAGCCCACTGACCTCTAGGATTTCGTCGGAGTGCCGAGAACTGGTGCATCAGGAAACGGGATTTCAGTCTCCTACTCAGAAGCGTCCCCTCGCGTCTGACAGAACGATATTGTTGCTTAAGAACCATATTCCCAGGCTGCGAAAGGACTCTTCGATGCAGAGTAGTTCTGCGCTGCAGCAGTTTCCGTAACTCTGGTGTTGCCCACGGTTGAGGCTTAGGTTTGGGACAGAGGGGTAGTCTAACTTGTTTAGATGGAGCATGCGTATCAGTAACAGCAGCGATAGACGTTAGAAGATGGCAAGTTTGACTGTCCAATGTTGAAAATGAGGATGAGTCCTCGAGCATATCATTCAGGTCAGCATTAAACTGAGAGTAGTTGATAGTAGCTATTCCTGGTTTTCTCACAACCTTAGTTCTCTGGGTTGCTGGGGGCTTCCATTCCGGTATTACAATATCAAGGCGGACTAGGTGGTGATCAGTAAGATCTGACATGGGAATGATCGTTGGATTGGGCAATGGAAAGGTAGTGTTCAACAGAGCCAGGTCAAGACACGTGTTTGACGGCGCTCTAGTTGGTGCGTGGACAATGTTCTGCAGCTGGTGCTCTGCACAAAGCTTAAGTAGATGATGATTATGATGTAGAGTCGGTTGTAAGATGTCCGTGTTCAAATCTCCCAGAACTAGCAGGTCAGAGCTGTCCACGAAAATGCCATCCAACTGGGCACTGTACTGCTCCCAGAATTCTGTACCAGAGCTCGGTGGGCGGTAGACTGAACTCACGAGGAGCTTACACGCATCTGGCTCCCGTGCAATGCGAACTGACACAAACAACGACTCCAGATGTGTGTTGGATGCGGGCATGATGAGACGAGCGCGGAGACTAGACATGACGTACAAGCACACACCTCCGCCCCTCAAGTTCCTGTCGTTCCGATATATCCGATATCCAGGGATGTTCAGCAGGGAATCTGATACTGAGCTGTCTAGCCAGGTTTCATTAATTGACATGATGTGAATTTTATTGGCATGCAGGATATGATGGATTTCATGAACTTTGTTTCGTAGACTGCAGATGTTTATATGAGCAACTTTGAGGACGGCACGGTTGTCTGGCTGGGGGTTCCCTGATGTGTCCTATTGGGCAGACAGCAGATCCTGGATGGCATTGTCAGAGAGAGGTGTCCCTTTGTCATCCAATATGACGTCATAAGGCAGAGAGCACTTGACCTTTTTGGCTCGAAGTTGCTTATACTTCGGTAGTACTGCCTTCCGCTTCGTTTGCTGTTGTCGAGTGAGGTCGTTGTTGACGTACACATCATGTCCATTCACTTTCAGGCCAAGGCGATCCTTGTACGCTGACGCCTTGAGGCGCTTGTTTCCAAAGCGTACCCTGACAGGAGCTGGACCTGGCGCTGGAGTCTCATGTTCAGTAGCGCGTGGGCGCAAACGTTCGACTTCCAGCAGGTCAGAGGTCGAACATTTGAACAGAGTACTGCAATGCAGGGATAGGGTTTCATTCCATGATGCAGGCAGTCCTCGTACTATGACGCTGGTAGTACGGTTGGACCTCTCAACCTCCTCTGCAATGATGTCGGAGAGGTTGTATGGTTCGAGTTGAACTACCGGTCCTGCATTTGCCGCGTCAGAGGTCAATGGTGCACCAACTGGCCCGCCTTGCACTGCTGTATTGCTGGCGTCGTCTGTCAAAAACCGTACCGTGGCGGCAAGGTCCGTCTTTTCCCGCTCCAGATCACCAAGTCTTGCCTTCAGAGCTGTCACCTCCGTGGTTAGGTCTGCAACCTGTGTCACCAGGTTTGCCAGCCGTTCGTCTAACAACTCGGACATACACGTCCTAAATTCCTTCATCATGTCCACGGGGGCCTCATGATTTCCTGAAGACAACGAGGCACTGTACGAACCTCCTGTAGCTGTGCGCAGGGCAGCGGGAGGGGTGATTGCCTTCCTTCGACGTGACTCCAAAGCGGTGGGGGTGCCTGAACCGCGGCTTAGGTTAGAACTACCTTTTGCAGACATATTTGCAGCCATACTACATACGTATACACTTCTCTAACTAACTACTACCTACATGTATTTAACTACCTAGTACCTACCCTTCTCCAGACCGGCCTGCTGCTGCAAACCAAGCAAGTGCAGTGTCAGCAATGCCAAGCATCTTCAACTCGTCAATGAGCTCTTGTTAATGCAAAATGTTTTCCACATATTGACAACGTTTATATGAAGTAGCCACATGTCCGTTTAACTTGTTCTCTTGATTGCGATAAAAAAGGGTAGTCGACTTACTATCGGGTTTTAATAATAATAATAATAATAATAATAATGTAGAAGAGAAAAGGACATATGGATACGAGTTAAGAGTAACTCTCCATCACTGTAACATGATACTATATACAGTCAGAAAGTGCAATAACTAGGCACAAAACTGACAGAGTACTGAGACATTCGACGTTCTGACACCTAGCTTCAACACATCTCCGTAGCGCTAACCGACAGCCTTCCAACTTGGAAGGTTCAAGGTTATGGAAAGACCAAAGAGGGGAAGGCAAGCGCAACGAAAACGAGCAAAATCTACAGTCCCAACGGAACAAAGAATGTCGATTGTTACTGGACGATGACGAGACCAGTACGATATTTCACAAAGCTCAGTACTCTGTCGGTTTTGTGCCTAGTTATTGTACTTTCTGACTGTATATAGTATCATGTTACAGTGATGGAGAGTTACTCTTAACTCGTATCCATATGTCCTTTTCTCTTCTACATTTTTTTATGGCTCAACATCCGAGTTTCAAATAATAATAATAATAATAATAATAGCTATAAAAAGAACAAATTCCGCTGTCATCGCCACACTACAACAAAGTCATGAAGGTTTACCAAAATCGATTTTCTTGTCACAATCATCAGTGGAAAGCCGTGACTGAAGAATAACCATGCCAAATCAATAATTTATATACATTCAATAATGTGTTACGAGAACAAAACAAAGTGCTAAAATAGAATGAGGGAAGGTGAGACAATAGAAGTAAAGTGAGAGCTAAGTGCAACAGGGGTGAGGAACTAATTGCAACGCTAGAACTGTGTAGTGAGACAAACAATCATGCTGTGCACCTACGAAAACAATCTTAACGCAACTACATGTTTCTTCTGCTTACAAAGATCAGGCTTATGCAAACGAATACAAACAGCCTCAAGTACTTTCAACTGACTAGCGTACCGTGCACGACAAAGAACAGAAAAACTAAAATCATCATACACCTGCAGACACTTAGGGTGAGACAACAGATGAAGAAAAACGGCAGACTTCTTACGATCTAAATCACCATCCGATTCCTCGTCTCCACCAACCGCAACCTCGTCCCCCGTCTCATCTTCCAACTCGTCCTCAGTGTCGTCCTCCGTGTCATTCTCCTCATCACCACTGATCGGTCCCAGGCTCGCTTCACGTTGCTGAACCTCTGTTCGTTGACTCCTCCTTTGATCTTGATGGTAATTTGTTACCATTGTTGTTGTTGTCATTGTTATTGTTCCTGTTGTTGCTAAATCTTCTGTTCCCAATAATAATAATAATAACACAGATACGCGTACAACATGCACAGCCGTGCTATACATGCTTCCGCTGCTGTTGGGGTTTAACTGCCATTAAACCGGGGAAAATGAGGTCCCATGTATGGGACTTCGATTTTGAACCGGGGTCGACTTATAAACGAGAAAATATGGTATTCAGTTGCAAGCCATTACTACTTTTACAAATGTGCCGCCGCTGGCTAGGCAAACTCGACCAGCAATGCATATGCCGTCGTGGTATCATGTCTGGAAATTCTCTTTTTGAGGAGGAGGAGAAACACAGAATGTTATTTCATGTTATGTACTACTGTCTAGGGACCGGTGGATTCTGCTCAAAAAGGTGGCAGATTCTGCTCGAAAAGCAGTGAAATTGGCAGAATCATACAAACCATATGGCGGGCAATTCCTCGAATTCTGCTCCATTTTTTTATCCACATACCAAACATG